TGAAGCCCTGTCTGTACTAAAATACAAAACATTAGCCAGGAGTGGTGGTGTTCACCTGTAGTCCCAGCTACTCAGGAGACTGAGGCAGAAGAATCGCTTGAACCCGGGAGGCAGAGGTTACAGTGAGCCAAGATCATGCCATTGCACTCCAGCCTGGCGACAGAGTGAGACTCCATTTCAAAAAAAAAAAAAAATTAAAAATTAAAAAATAATAAAAATCATCCAATTAAACCCTCACAAGTTTGAATATAGCTGTTAAGATCCCCAAGCTGAAAGAAATGAAAATAAATAAAATTAAACTCAAAGAAGTAAACAACTTACATGCAAATTCACAGAGAAAATGGGAAAACTCTAGTCAGTATAACTTCAAACCCTAGGATCTTTCCCATATATTAGGTGATCAGTGAAGCAACAGGATTATTTCTTGATTAAAGCTTTACTCTTAAAATATTTACTGAGTTACTACTTCTACTACCACCACTAAATTTTTATTTGTTTATTTACTTTAAACGGAGTCTCCCCCTTTGTCACCCAGGCTGCAGTACAGTGGCGCAATCTCAGCTCACTGCAACCTCTGTCTCCCAGGTTCAAGCGAATCTCGCACCGCGATTCTTGGCAAGTAGCTGGATTACAGGCGCCCTCCACCAAGCCCAGCTAATTTTTGTATTTTTAGTAGAGACAGGGTTTTACCATGTTGGCCAGGCTGGTGTGGAACTCCCAATCTCAGGTGATCCACCTGCCTCAGCCTCCCAAAGTGGCAAAATTACAGGTGTGAACCACAGTGCCCAGCCACCACCACTAATTTTTAATACTCACAACAACAAATGATATATTATTTCAATTTTCCACCAAAAATAATCATCTTCCAAAAAACAAAAAGCCCATATTGTAAAATGGATTATGTGGCCAGGCGCAGTGGCTCACACCTACAATCCCAGCACTTTGGGAGGCCAAGGCAGGTGGATCACCTGAGGTCAGGAGTTCAAGACCAGCGTGGCCAACACGGTAAAACCTTGTCCCTATTAAAAATACAAAAATTAGCCAGGCATGGTGGCGTACGCCTGTAGCCCCAGCTACTTGAGAGAATCACTTGAACTTGGGAGGGCGGAGGTTGCAGTGAACCAAGATCATGCCACTGCACTCCAGCCTGGGCAACAGAGCAAGACTCCATCTCAAAAACAAATAAAATAAAATGGATTATGGATAATGATTTCTCTGTTATTTTATATTATTTTTTGAGACAGGGTCTCACTCTGTCACCCACGTTGGAGTGGCACAATCTCAGCTCAGTGTAACCTCCACCTCCAGGCTTCAAGTGAATCTCCTGCCTCAGCCTCCCAAGTAACTGGGACTATAGGCAAACACCACCACGCCCGACTAATTTTTGTATTTTTGGGTAAAGAAGGGGTTTCACCAAGTTGGCCAGGCTGGTCTCGAACTCCTGACCTCTAGTGATCTGCCCACCATGGCCTCCCAAAGTGCTGGGATTACAGGTGTGAGCCACCACAACAGGCCTCTCTGTATTAAGGATGTACTGATAAGAAGGGATATTAAGAGCTGAAGAGCATTTTAAGAGACCAAAAGCAATATTTCTTTTTCTTTTGTTTAAAAATGCGACTATGAGGTACTGTTTAAAAATAAGGTTATGGGGTGCTGTCAGGATGATATCAGAGATATATCTGGAATTCAGAAGAAATCTGACAGTTTTTCATCATGTTTTGTGGAACTTACCCAATCTAATCAGTAAAGTTGGGTCCTATTCTTCTGGTGCCTATCTATGCTTCTCTCCATTACTCATGTCTTTACATGCCTTGCACTCCTGTACCAAGTAGGATGCTGGCTTATACAACCCTGAAGCCTCTACAAACTCTTAAGATACTAGGAATTCTGTTTGAAAATACTGAGTGAAACTGATTCCTTTCACTTACAATAATAAAAACTGACAGGTTTGTGGGCCAGCACTGAACACATGAAGAAGACAAGAGACTATAGCACAAATAGTGTTCTTAAAAGTGTAACAATAATCCTAAAGAATGTATCTGTTAAGCATAAACATTCCTCTCATCTTCATAACAAAAGAAAAAGGTATACAAAGGGGAAATGTTTTGTTTAAATTATTCAGGTTTGAAATATTTATGTTTGATAAATGCAGTATGAATATTAAAAGCCAAAAACTCAAAGATATAGGAAAGTCAGTTAATGAGTTATTAATTATAATTCATACTAATTTTTTCTTTTGAATCAATAATGACTGAACACCTAGCACTACACATTTGGTATTTTTGTTGTAATATATATATAGCATTTACTGTTGTAACTTTAATTTAAAAATAGATGAATAAGAAACAAACTCTTATGTCGTACAGACGTCTGGTTGATTTTACCTGACTTACTTTCTTCCCCTAAATTACCATTCTTACATTAAAGTTCTATGGGTTATGAAAAGAAAAAGTATCTCTGAAATAAAACTCAGTCAGAAAAGGTATCATAAGAAATCTTTTGAATTATCAAATACTATTGACTGCATTTTGAGAAGATACTCATTTCTTTTTCATTTTCAGGAAATGTTACTTTTAAAAAAAGTGCATCTCTACTACTAAACCTCATATTAGCCACTAAATTAAATTAACAAAAAAACTGTAGCATTTCCTCCTCAGGATGTCTTAAGACTGTTTCTATATTCTTTGCCAAAAAAGTTTTAGACAAACTTTTACAAGACATAAAGTCTCAAATAAAATACAGACAAGTAGATGATTAAATAAATCCTCTTCCCTTTTTTCTTATACCATTGCTTTTTTAATCCAAAGTATTAAATAATTTTATTTTCCTTGCCTGAAAGACTAAAACTGTATATAAAATGCTGAGTAAAGTGCCTGATCCATCACTGGTACTCCATAAGTTAGTTCTCTTTTCTAATAATTAATGTCAAGATTCATTCTCCTAATGGTTTCCAGCATATTATATTATTGGGATAACAATTTTACTCCTTTTAAGGCTTACTGCTATATATAGCGTGACTCTGGAACTTGGTATCATCTTATTTATACCAAATTGTTTCCTGTTGTTTTCACTGACACTTCTTGTTACCTGTCATTCTGGGAATAAATGCAACATTTGATTTTAATGTGTATTTGTTTGTGGCATTACATCATCTCTACATTTCTGGCCAAGTCTTGCTAAAACGCACGGACACACATGGGGGTGGGGTATAAAATAATGGCATTTCAAAACTAACCTATACCCTGGAGTCCCTGATCTATCAATTAATTTCTTTTTGAGACGGAGTCTCGCCCTGTCGCCCAGGTAGAGGTGCAGTGGCACGATCTTGGCTCACTGCAAGCTCTGCCTCCCAGGTTCATGCCATTCTCCTGCCTCAGCCTCCTGAGTAGCTGGGAGTACAGGAGCCTGCCACCACGCCCAGCTAATCTTGGTTTTGTATTTTTAGTAGACATGGGGTTTCACCATGTTAGCCAAGATGGTCTCAATCTCCTGACCTCGTGATCCGCCCTCCTCGGCCTCCCAAAGTGCTGGGATTATAGGTGTGAGTCGCAGCGCCTGGCCAATGATATGTATATTGTACAACAAATACTAATGGAACATGCCCAGAAATAAATGTCACATGTCATAAGGTTTGAGACATTTATTTTGAGGTAGAAAGGGTGATTATTTATTCTATGATTCTTAGCTGTGTTTCTATTGAAAGAATTTCACCTCATGAAGACAAGGCATCAGAATACTGATTCTCTCTTCTTCCTCCCTTGTTCCCACCACTGCTCATAAAGAACAACTACACTAGAATATGATCACACTTGATAGTTCTTCTTTGGGATAAAATTTGATGCCTTTCTGACATAAACATAACCTCTCATTCCACAAAAGGCATTACAATCTACAGTTGTTTTCAACATTTAAAATAAATATGCCTTGAGATGACAAAAAACTCAGAACGATAAAGCAGATGTTATTCCAATGTAGCACATTATCCTTATAGACCTGTTCACTATATAACAAGAGTAAATTATACCAGTAACTGCTGACAAATCAAAAATAAAATTCAACATTAAAATGTCTTTAATATTATAGCACTATAAATAAGGTAATATTGTGAAATAAATGACTCATTTGTATTATATAAACTCCAAAGATGATCTGTGTGAATTGTTTATCTTAGGTTTAACAAAAAATTTCCAGGTATACTTAAAGAGTAATTTTTTCAAATCAAATATTACCCTCACTTCATCTGTCCTGTTATTCAGAGAAGATATTCCATATGGTGATTTTTCTAAATAACAGTTTATCTCAATGCCCAAACTCATTTTACTTAAGCCATTTTGGATAGAAGTGGTCTTAATTCTGTCTCATACCTCCCCAGCAGTTTAAATAGTACACAGTATACTGAACCTAATGTAAGCCCTTGTTAATGGCTAAGGCCTATCAAGTTGACTACATTAGGGCACTGTGGTATATTTAAACCAGCAATAGCCTCAGGGGCACAAACAAACATGAAGCAATTTGCTCCTATTCTAAATGGCCCCACAATGACACGTTCTTATATCTGCATTTTAAGAGTTCTCCTGTCCCTTATTAAAAATCCTCTTATAAAAACAAACCAACAAACAAAAAAACAAACACTCATCACTGTTTCTAAAGTGTCCTTTACTCACCTGCTAAATCACTGCTTCTAGATTATGGCTGGTAAATCACACAATTATGCAGGTAGTAATTCTATCAAGAGCAAGAATAACACCCTAGGCTGACAGTCTCCATTTAAAAAGGCCCACCAGTTTAGTACACAGTGTGACTTTCAGTGCAGCCACTCAGAGGGCATTTTCAATTGCTTCCTAGATAGTGATTATACCAGATAGTTGTGTTTTCTGGGGAAAATAACTGACAAATAAAGGTTTACTATACAGCAATTATTCTTTGTATCTTCTTGTCCAATATTATCTTTTTAAAATGTCACCATTAGTAAACAAAATCTATAATATAATCAGACTTACCTGAGGCACGCCTTGTGAATCGGTTTATTACTGGAGCTGAAAGAAAAAGCAGAATAATGAGATTAGAATAAAAGTCTAACTTTCCCTGCAAAGGCTCAAATTGGTAAATGATCTTATAATTTAACTAAAGAAAAAGATGAATAAATAAGAGGAAACACCATAAATATACAAAAATATTGAAATTCATTAATAATCAAATAAATATAAATTGAAATCAATATTTAACCTATTAAATTAGCACTTTAAAAGAAAAATCCCTAGTTATAGACAGCTAAAATTACTTACGTGGGGACCATATAAAGAGATACAATACCTTTAAAAAACAATTTGGCAATTACATCAAGTACTATAAAAGATTTGTGTCACTTAATAGGGTAAATCTACTAGAGATTTAACCTGAAGCACTACTACTAGTGAAGGAAAGAGCAATGTATGAATAAATCTATTCAGCAGCATCATTTTTTAAATGATAAAATTACAAAACACAACTGAAATTGCTCATGTATGTTGAAATCATCTTTAGCTGAAGGATAGTATATCCTTGAAAGTCTCAGATTTATAGTTCTGACGATTTTTGTGCAATCCAAATGTTCATAACACGCAAATCTGTCCACTGAAGGCTGCAGTCTCAGGCTGGTGTGCGCACCACTCAGCTGGCAAGCCTACCAACTGCCCACTCCTCCGACTCAACTCAGCTCTGTTTCTTCTTGGTTTTGATGACATAGTTATCTCAAGAACTGAGGTTTTTAAAAACATTTCTTTCTTAAGAGAAGCAGGTACATTTCTGGTTCATTTTACATAAAGGAAGGACATAATGTACTATGCAGTATATTTTGGTAACAGAATGTCATAAGTCTACTTCAATACTTTTAGAAGAGTAATTATGAAATTTGTTTACACTATGGAAACATTAGGTCAAGTAAAAAAAGACAAAATTTTTATCAGCAGTATGATTGCACTGCATGAAAAATATGTATGCACAGGAACAAGTACTATAATAAAACTATGTCAGATGTGTAGTGCATTAATCCTGACAATCATGCTATCAAATATCAGCATCTTTGGCCAGGTGCGGTGGCTCACGTCTGTAATCCCAACACTTTGGGAGGTCGAGGTGAGCAGATCACCTGAGGTCAGGAGTTTGAGACCAGCCTGGCCAACATGGGGAAACTCCATTTCTACTAAAAACTACAAAAATTAGCCCGGCATGGTGGCAGGTGCCTGGAATCCCAGCTACTTGGGAGGCTGGGGCAGGAGAATCACTTGAACCCGGGAGGCAGAGGTTGCAGTGAGCCGAGATCGCGCCACTACACTCCAGGCTGGCTGACACAATCAAACTCAGTTGCAAAAAAAAAAAAAAAAAATCAGCATCTTCATACAACTGATGACTACATTTTACAGTAAGTCTCAGAGAAATCTATTAATTTGTTTTAGATCACACAGTCACTCTGCATCAGAGCTGGAGAATCTGAATTTACGAGTATCTTGCATCAAAACGCTGCCTCAGAGAGAACAGAAAATGAAAATACAGATTCCTGAAATCATATAGTAAGAGGTGAATATTATCTTCCTTTGTGATCTTCATTACAATTAAAGATTAACTTTGTGAAATTCATAAACCCAATTATCAAGATATTATCATTTATAACAAAATTACATCCTCCAAAGTGACTGAAAGACATACAATATTTACTATTTATATACCACAATACTTTAGTCATATATTTGCACAGTCACAAATTACTTACATTAAAAACTTGCATCAGGTAAATTGTGTTATGTATATCTTACTACACATATACACAAAGGCCCATCAGTTTTCAAACCCCTTTTTTGCAACGATTAAAGTTAGTCTAAAGAGTGCCTCCCCAGCAAGCTACAAGGATAGTGAACGGAAACAAAATGCAAAAAAATGCAACCACAGGAATGCAGAACAGAGAGTGCAAGCAGATACAGGCAAGATAAAGGTTTAAAAATTTCTCTTAGCCTTGGGGCAAAAATACAGTAGACATTCTCTGCCCCCCCTGCCCCCTCCAGCCTCTCTAGATGATGAAGCCACAAGACTATGGGCTCCTGGTTTGAAAGGTCGAGAAGTCTTTGTTTTCCTGAGGTCCTTAGGTTTCTGTGTCTTTCTGAAGTGTTTAAGGCAGAGGTTTTCCACAAAGGTGGCATCGCTATCTAGAAGATGTTTTCTAAATTTGTGGGGGCAATTTTGATTGTCACAGTAATTCAGAGGACACCCTTCCTTGGCTTTTGTCAGGCAAACTCCACAACAATCCTGCACAACAAAGAACTGTCCTGCATCCTACAACTTTTGTCCTGCATGACTTTTAAAACATCCCACTGGGCATTCACATTGGCAAAAAAAAAAAAAAAAGTCCATTTATAACCATCTGGGCCTAAATCCTAATACAGCTCTTTATATACACATGACTCATTTATGCAGCTTTAATATACATCAAATTTTCTACAACACAATGACAACATAAATCAAATTTGGGTTTTTTTGTGTGTTTTGTTTCTTGCTTTGTTTGGAATTTTACTAATAGATGTTCACCATTTCAGAAAACCATGTGACTACTACAGTGCTCCTTATGGTATTTGGATTGCTAGTACAATGCTTTTTCGTCAGACGCCCTTTGCAGCTTTTATAGAGCCTCTACATCTAGGTGGGACAATCTAACTGCATTGTCTTCTTGAGTACATGTTGAAGCACATACCTACTGAAATACATTTTACTTGCTATAAATTATCTTACTTTATTTCTCCTTGATATTTTTGCTAGACATTCTGTCAATTTCTAAATTGCGGGTAGACAGGTCTATGATTTTCATTTCCCGACAGTTAATAGGGCATAGGATTGGACAGTTAAGAAAATGGGTGCACCGAGCAAGTGGTATGCAGTAGTTAAGGTAAACACTGGGTTTTGAGAACAATCATCAAAAATCCAATCTCTCATACCCATAGCCCTCCTTTCCACTTGCAGGGATGAAACACAAATGTTTCCTGTACAAACTTTCAGCAAGTTAACGGTCACCTTCACCATTTTTCCAAGTTTTTTAGTCTAATTACCAAAATAGAGAAGGCTGGGAATCAGGGTGGAGGCTTTGCTGGAAAAAAAGAAATGTGCATCCGGCCAAGCTATGCCTAGTCTTCTCTCTCAGGAACCTAAGTCAGGGAAGGTGAGCAGGAAGGTGAGGATGGGCACCGCCAACATTCCGACCTTCCACATCACTGGCAGGGAGGGGGTGAGGCGTGGGGTATGGACAGACCACCCAACTGGCAGACAGGAGCCTTGGGCTCTAATACTGGCCACACCACCTTCTGATGGCATAGATGAACCATGTAACCTTGACTTAAATTTTCAACTTGTGATATACGGAAGCAAGATCTGCCCTCCTTCTTTCAGGGGGTTTTTCTGAAGAAAAAAACCTGGCCAGACGTGGTGGCCCACGCCTGTAATCCCAGCACTTAGGGACGCCGAGGTGGGCAGATCACCTGAGGTCAGGAGTTCAAGACCAGCCGGGCCAACATGGAGAAACTCCATCTCTATCCTAAAACTTTTTTAAAAAAATTAGCCGGGCATAGTGGTGGGCACCTGTAATCCCAGCTGCTCAGGAGGCTGAGGCAAAAGAATTGCTTGAACCCAGGAGTCGGAAGTTGCAGTGAGTGGAGATCGCACCACTGCACTCCAGCCTGGGCAACAGAGCAGGACTCCGTCTCAAAAACAAAAAAACATAAACATCTTTGGAGGTACCTGTCAATTATAAATTCCTATTCAAATGTAAGAGACTGACGCTTATTTAGTGTAAACTAATATTACCACTTTTTAAATATACAAAATAAACAGCAATACAAATTTCCAAAAAATGTTAACAGATGAAGGTGTTTTAAAATGTGACAAGTCAAATTAAATTTTCTCGGATTTTTGGTTTTTACCTTTAGATTTTCTTATTCTGCGGATATTCGGTGAATACACACACACACACAGACACACACACACCCCCACACACACACCCACACAGAAAGAGAGAAAACTAGAGACTAGGATAGAAGGAAAAAAATAGGAAATATATTACATGCCTGGAGAAATAAACAATATGATTTAAGAGCAGAGTAAAATCCTAGCATTTCTAAGAGAATATAACCTAAGATCTTAGTGAATCCCCAAGGAAAAAAGACACAAATATTTATATAAGGTTTGACTTTCTCCCCAACACTACTGCAGTGGAACACTGAGTCCTATGTTCCTATGAATATCTTTGTGCTTGTATAACCAGAGATCTCTTCAGTTGCCAAACTATATTCCACTAGATTCGTTTAGTTCCTACGCTCCCAAGAGACCTAGAAGTGTAACTGATTCAAGTCTTCTTTAATCCTTCAGTGTCCTTACAAGCAAAATCCTCCATTACTTTGGATAAACTGAAGGAGTCTCTCTATCTCAGCAGTGAAAACAGCCTCCCAAACCTGCTGGACTGAGTTCTGCACCAGGCCAGCAGGAACTGCTTATCTGCTCACCTCTTCATGCCCAAAACCTATCACAGTGCCTGGCAGATAAAGGTGCTGAGTAAATAGCTGCAGAATGCATCAATAAACTCTGCAAGGAAGCAGAGCAAGTCTCCCTGTCCCCACTAATTTTGTTGCTGTATTGAGTGTGGATGCTAGGCACTGGAATTGTAACAGAGTCGCCGCCCTTGAAGAACTTATTAAGTCTAGTTGTATTTTCAAATACAATGGCTTCAAAGACTTATACCCTGCAACTAGATACCTAATTTAGAAAAATGTAGGCGAATGAGAAATCCAGTAGAAGACTAAAAAACCTAAGATAATCTATGAAACTAAAAGTCAAGTTTATAGCAGTACACACAGTTTGCATCTCTGAGCATACTGCTGGGAGAGAAACTCCAAGTTAAAGAAACAAGAGCCCTGAGAGCTGTGATCTGCAGTCATAAACACACATACACACACACACACACACACACATATACACACACCGAGCAAACAAAAATTAAAAACAAACTACAAACTACCCTATC